TAACATTTATTTATTTTTGAGAGACAGAGAGAGATAGAGCACAAGCAGGGGAGGAGCAGAGAGAGAGGGAGACACAGAATCCAAAGCAGGCTCCAGGCTCCAGCTGCCAGCACAGAGCCTGACACGGGGCTCGAACTCACGGACCGTGAGATCATGACCTGAGCCGAAGTCGGCCACTCAACCAACTGAGCCACCCAGGCGCCCCTCTGTCTCTGCTCTTGATGGCTCCTCGGTACCCCAGACTCACACTCTCTCTACCTGACTTCCCTCTGTAGATGAGCTATAGACACTTGAAGCCTCACATGGGCACCCCAGTTTCCCCATCACACTCCCCCTTCCTGCCTCCATATCCAATCTATCTACACATACAGAACAAACCTGGAAACTGAACCCCTCTCTAGTGCCTTGCTTCCCCCTACCCTGGGTCTGAGTCACCAGAACCCCTCACCTGGACCCGTGGCACAGCCCCTGTCCACTTACCCTGCTTCCACCTCCCACCTCTCACCTGTCCACAAAACAAATTTGAGCAAGTCACTCCACTGTTTATGGCAGATACTGTGGCTACCTGATTTTAAATTAATTAAAATTATATCAGACTTGGGGCACCCAGGTAGTTTAGTTGGTTGTGCGTCCTACTCTTGATATCGGCTTAGGTCATCATCTTGAGGTTGTGAGATCAATCCCGACATCGGCTCCATGCTGAGCATGAAGCCTACTTGGGATAATCTCTCTCTCTCTCTCTCTCTCTCTCTCTCTCTCTCTCTCAATCTCCCTCCCACAACCCTGAGATCAAGGGATGCATGCTCCATGGACTGAGCCAGTCAGGCACCCCCAAACTAAATTTTAATTTTTTAAGAATGTTTCTTCATTTTTGAGAGAGAGAGAGAGAACACAAGCAGGGGAGGGGCAGAGAGAGGGAGACACAGAATCCGAAGCAGGCTCCAAGCTCTTAGCTGTCAGCACAGAGCGCAACTGGGGCTGGGGTGGGGGCCGGGGGCCTCTAACCCATGAACTGTGAGATCATGACCTGAGCCAAAGTCAAACACTTAACCAACTGAGCCACCCAGGTGCCCCAGCCCCCAAACTTAATTTTAAATCAAACTAGATTTTTCCAGTTCTTCAGCTGCAGCAGCCACATTTTGAATGCCTGGTGATCGCATGGGGAAGCTAGTGGCTGCTGTCTTGTTCAGTATAGAGTGTAGAACATGTTAATCCTGGTGGAAAATTCCACCAGACACTACAGGCTCAGAACCTTTCAGAGGCTTTTCCTTGCGTTTAGAATAAAACCCAAACTTCTTACAATCCTGAAAGGTCCTACCTTGCCTCTGATGTCTCTTCCTGCCACCCATAACAGCCTACTCTCCTAACCTTACTGTGCCTCAAACATACCTAGAACTTTGAAGTCTGTCTTTGCCTTCCTGCTCCTCATCTTTAGGACAAACTCAGATGTCACCTCTCCTGGCAGGCCTCCCCAGACCTCTTCCCTGTCCTGGATCCCCACACAGCACACACACCCCTGATATGGCCTGGCTCTGCCTGTCTTATCCTTTCCTCCCCCACTCATGTCCATCTTTCTCTCCATGTTGTGTGTTCCTCCAGGCCACACACACACACACACACACACGTCAGATTCCTCTTTTGGCAAGCGCTGGCTGAGCATCTACTATGTGCTGAGCACTGGGGAGTCACTGGGTGAACTGAATAGACAGAGCTCCGTCTTGGGAATTTAGATCTAGCTGGGGACAGACACCTAATGGGGGATTGTATCTGGGCCCCACGTTCCTCCTCACTCCTTCCTCCCTGGGGGAGGGAAGGATGATAAGAAAGCTCTGCAGGAAAAGACCAGAGACCCAGGGTGGAAGTGCTTTCAGGAAAGAACCAAGGATGAGAGGAGTGTCCTTGGGGCCAGAAGAAGCTATCTCACAGGGCAGATAGCCACTATCTTCCGGTTTCTGAGTTAAGTTTGCTTATGTACAATATTGGAGGCGGGGCTGAATTGGGGCCTGCAAACCAGAGAAAGCGACACCCCACTGACAGATGAAGCCCCCTCCCCACCATTCTCCGCAAAGTATCCTTTTCTTTCCCAGGTGGTTAATGATAAAGTCCCTGATGAGCCCACAATTCCCTGCCCTGGAAATGGAGGGGCTCCATCAGCAAGGGAAGAAAGCAGTATGTGCTTTTGGAATTCTCTCTGGAGACAGCCAGATAATGGGGTTCTGGAAGCCTGTCTGACCCAACTCACTGGGTGACCTGAGCAGGTCACCTGAGGAAGGCAGCTAATATTGATCATAAGCAGCTATGTGCCACACCCTGTGAGGTCAGGACTTACTCCCATTTTAAAGAAAAGGTCACTGAGGATGTGAGTACTACTAGGATTCCAGCCTCGCCTGTCCAGCCCCAAAGTCAGGACATCAACTCATTCTGTTTCTTTGACTGCAAAACAGGCTTTACAGGAGGACTTGCCTGCCTTGAGGGGGTTCTGCAAAGTAAAGGAGTTGGGTAAGGGGACAGAGGGCCTCGAAACAGGAGAGAGAGCAGGAGGGTGGAGAGGCCTGCAGAGGGCGGCAGTGAGCTGTGCCTAGAAGCACCTGGATGTCAGGGCCCAAGAGTTTTCCAGTAACCCTCCAAGGCCATCTCCCAGAGCACCAGCCTTAACAAGCAGTCGGGGATGGAGCACCACATACCATTTATCAGGGTGGGTTTCATGTTTGCCCCAACTGGGTGCTTTACACATGGTGCTCACATTTTATATATGGGGGCAAAACTGAGGCTCAGAGAAGGGAAAAGAACTGCTCAGGTCACAAACCTGGAGTGGGGAAGACGTGAACCCCAGCCAGGCTGTACTGGCTAATAGCCCTGGGCTCTGTTTCTTCTAGATTAGATGCTGGGGCGTCTCTTCTGGGTGGCACTGGACCTGGAGCGGGGGCAAGATTACACCTTACATCCATGCAGGGACAACAGCCCCCAGACACAGGTATCCTTGTTCTCATTTCAATGCCAAAGGAAACTGAGGAACAGAGGCAGTGGTGATCAGGACCCAGGCCCAGTTCTTTGGTTGACAAATCCTGTTTCCTCTTCCCCCACCCAGCAAGCTGGTTTGGGTATTTTCATTTGGTGCCCATCAGACCACCTGACGTGTGCTCTCTGCTGTGTGTTTAATATCTCTGGAGTGCCAGAGATGATTTTGTTTCACTGCTGGCTCTAGACTGTCCTGTATTCCACCCAATCCAAAGACGACCCCCTTAAAGGGAGACTAAACACGTAAGGTCTGAGTCAGGCAATCCGGGAAAAACTACCCTGGCCTCTGAAGCTCAGGAGAGGCCAGCGGACAAACATACAGCTCAGGACCACAGGGAAGGCCATGTGGGTGTTGAGTGACCTGGGGGAGAAATTCCTATAGATTATCTCTGCGACAATGCCCTGTGGCAGCTGATGCATCACCCACCCCAAGCCCACAGTGCTGGGACCCTTTGGCACATAAGCGCTGTTGGTCTTGGCGGCCCAACCTAGCCCACCCTGCTTCCGTAGGTGACCTGCCACTCCAGGCTCTTGTGCGCATAGGGGCCAGGAGGGTGGCCCCCAGAGCGCTCAGCCCCAAAGCTGGAGAGTGGCTGCCGGGCTGTGGGGAAGTGAAGATCCAGGTGTTTCTGTTCCAGGAGTGCAGAATTTGCCAGGGCCTCTGCGTGGGACAGCTGGGTTCGGCCACCGCCTGGGACAGAGTCTCCCCAAGCGCGGAGACCGAGGGAGGGCAGGGGCTGGGTGGGGGCGCGGCTCCTAGGCAGCCCCTCCCCC